GTGTGTGTGTGTGTGTGTGTGTGTGTGTGTGTGTGTGTGTGTGCATGTGTTTTTTGTGTGCTTGTATGTGAGATTCCCTAAATGTATCATATATCTGCAGAAATTTGCACTTTTGATCATTGGAAGTCATACACAACAACGCCCTGTACACAATGTGTTCAAACACATACATATGCTCACTCGCATATACCCCCAAAAACATAACACAGCTCTGGACATACGCAATATTCATCGAAATCCTACTACTATCTACATCCTACTACTATCTACACCCTACATTCACCATCCCTTCGTGTATACATACCCTGGCACCACCGAGGAGACCTCCTCTGTTATTCAAATCATCGTCCCTGTGCTCGAAATCCAATCGATCAACACTTCCTCGAGGAACCGCGCGGGGGGATGTGCGCGCGTGTGTGTGGGTGGGTGTGTGGGTGTGTGGGTGAGGCAATGCGATTGAATTCAGGGTCGTATGTTTCTTTGTCAGCAGGTCTGTTTCTACATCGTCTATGCCTGTGCTGTCTGTGTGATACACATAGTTTCTCTTGTCGGTTGGTATGCGTGCGGGTGCACTCCGACGCGGTTGGCTGGTGCGCTCTAGTTCACTATTTCTGCCCTCGGTGTACACACCACTCTCATCCTCCACAACAAATATAGACTCGTTAAGGTTATTGTTAGTGTGGTCGGTGTCTGCGAGTTCGGGCCACATCACCTCCGCACTATTCTGACTAGGCGTATGTATAGCCCCAGTGTCGACCTCGGGTGCATCTCGGAGAGACGTACTACTTCCGTCTCTGCTGTCCTCCGTTGCACCTGCATCCCCCACTTCCCCTATTATATCGATCGACTTACTAACGTCGCTGGAGGGTATAAGCGGAACATCTGTGTTGTGTGTGTCTTGTGTGGTTTGTGTGTCTTCGCCTGTGGTTTCGTCTCCTTGGGCTACTATCGACCGCACAACAGGCAGAAACCGGAAGGGTCCCGGCAGCAGTCCGTTTCTGATCATCTCCAGCGTCGTACTTTGCGCATTTGTGACGCTGTATACGTTTTTATTATATAGCGACACAGTACTGTATATGTATGGCTATGCCAATGGGCTCCAGATAAGAATCGCACCTAGACGCAGTTGTCAGTTAGAGTGTAATTGTGATGTGATGATAGACTTATCCTGTGTATACGCCCCGGGTGTCTCAGGTATGGATCGAATCGAACTAGCGTCAGAAGAATTCGGTTGTGTGACTGTGTATACGCTCATCTATCTACAATACGACACACACTATCTAATATACGCACTACACACCTAGCTCTCCACCGGGTGCTGTGTTGTATATAAATACACAGCTTCTCTAACCTTTTCTACGAAACGGCTCCTAAGAGTAGCCCCTTTCGACTTTGTGCATTCTGCCTTGCATATTTTCCATTTTGGCATGTATTGGCATAAATATGGATTCCTTATTTCCACGCAAAAGGACATAGACCTAATTGGCCCAAAAAGTCTAAAGTTCTGAGACCTTCTACACTTGTTAGCCTCTGAAAAATGAGAAAAATAGAACTGAAAACTAATCAAATCTACCTTTAATTGCAGTTTTGGCTCGAAAAATGAAGTTAAATAAATAAATAGAGGCCCAATACCCAATACTATTCATTAATTAACAGTAGTACCTATAGTTATCCAATGGAAGCATCGTAATATCTTCTAGATATATCTATACCATATTCTTGAGTAAAATATATCCGTTCCAGTCCCAGAATCCAGTCAGACTTAACGGTCAACCTCAGTGTACGGCTGAGTACGCAGTGGGGTATTTCCGAGAATACGTTAAAATATAAACGTATAAAGTTTAAACTATTTTAGTCCGTTATACAACCTATATGTAGGCAGAAAGGGTTTGTCCTATTTTAAAGTCGATAGGATTATGTACTGCACCTTAGAATCCAAATATAACGCCCATATCAAAAATACAGGACCAACACGACTTAAACGTTTAACGTAACTGGAAATAGTATTGAGTATTGACTATGTAGTGCATGCTTTTTTTGAAGAAAAAAACTTTTCAATATGAAACGTAATGAGCTTTTAGGTTCCAGCATTCTACTGGCAGCCAGACTAACCAGCAGCTCATCTGATATCACTTGAAACCCATAAACCCTACACAGGAACCCTGTACCAATGAGATGAGTACGCACATTCCACTATGACGCTACAAGGCACCCTCGAAATAACGAATTCTAGTATCCGCGATAAATATATACGTTCATGCCTGCGTGTGTACTATGTATAAATATATATATATATATGTATATATGTATATATATATATATATATATAGTGGTGTGTGTGTGT